GAGAATTAAAATAGAGCAAAAAATACTATTTGGAACCACTATTGCAAAGTGAATATGATCTAGAAGAAGACTTAAGTTTAGGAAATCTATAAACCTTAGGTTTTGATCCTAACTCTATAATTACTTAGCTGTGTGAGTCTTACCCATTTTGTCCCCGGTGTCTGCATCTATGAAATGGCGATAAAAGAGAATACATTTTACTTCCCAGGATCTTTATAAAGATGTTAGGAGGTAATAGAATAAAGACCTTATGCTGCTTTAATCTTATATTATCAGTAATGGTGTAAATGCAGACTTCATGAATGGCTATGGGAAACTAGAAAGGAACTATTAAACCATTAAACTAAAAAAAGTTACATGTATTTATATATATCCACACAGGGGCGCCTGGGTGGCTCAGTCAGTTAAGCGTCCGACTTTGGCTCAGGTCATGATCTCAAGGTCTGTGAGTTCAAGACCCGCATCGGGCTCTGTGCTGACAGCTCAGAGCCTGGAGCCTTTTTAAGATTCTGTGTCTCTCTCTCTCTGACCCTCCCCCGTTCATGCTCTGTCTCTGTCTCAAAAACAAATAAACATTAGAAAAAAAAATTTATATACATCCATACAAACATATATGAATGATTCCTCGTAGAAAAGAAAAAAAGAAGTTAAACCCTGAATACATCTATAATTCAAGAAGCTGGACACCAAGTTTATCTCACTTCCCATATTCCTAACATACACAGATGTTTCTGTGCCCCATGGTTAATTTTGTTTTTTAATTAAGAGTCAAAAAAGTTGATAGTGAACAAGGTCATTAGAGGGGTAGCTAAAGAAATACTGATAAAAGCTGTATTTTACTGGCTCAAAATAAAAGGTTGCTCCTTTCTGATAAAAATTCAATGAGATGACTTACTTGAGCTCAGAAAAGTTTGGGGGCAGGCAGGGATTTTCATTAATTTCTTTTTTCAAACACCCTGTGAGTACCTACCATGTTCTAAGTGCCATGGTCTATACAATTCACTGGTCAGGAAAACCAAGGACTTCTCATCTGCGTCTTTCAGTTTAGTGACAGGTAGAGGTAAGTAATCCAGCAATGACGATCCAGGGCCATGGTAGAGAAATATAGGGCACAATGGGAGAACATAGGAGGGATGCTTCACTCAATAAGAATTCAGGAGTGGGGTAGGGGTAGGAATGGGGTGGTAAATGACAGAATAGTCTTCCTGGAAAAAAGCGAGAAAACAGGATGACAAGTTGAAACCTGAAGGAAGAAAGGGGCTGACCTCATGAAGGACTGGAAGAAGAATATTCCATGTAGAAAAAATAGAATGTTAAATGCCTTGGGGTAAATAAGCATAGTATATTCTAGGAACCAAAATTATTTGATCTGACTGGATGATACAATGAAAAGGGAGTAATACGTAAGTCTAGAGAGCTAACCGGGGGCCAACCATGGCTTGTGAATTCATGTTAGGAAGTTTGGATTTATCTTGAGGGCAATGAGATTAATCAGAGAATATTATACTCACATTTGCAATTTATGAAAAAAAAAAAAAAACTTGTTTCAGTGTGATGAATGAATGACAGTGAGCCTGAGGAAAGGAAGGCTAGAGACAAAGAAATTCGTTATAATGCTCTTGCAGAATCTAACCAAAAAAAAAAAAAAAAGAAAAAAGTTTATGGCTCTGGGAATAGGGATTGGGAATAATAGTGAATCTGAGAGAGATTTAAAAGGCATAAGTCACAGAACTCAGGATCCTTTTTATATGGGGGTAGTAAAGGAAAGAGAGCAGTCAAGGAAGATAACGCTGTTTTTGCTTGGGCAACTGTTTGCATGATGACACCATTCCCCGAGATAGTGAACAAGACTACAAGTGTCACATAGGAAGGAAGATGACAATTTTGGTTCTGAGTATGTTGAATCTTGAGTATCTGTGATGTATTTGATGAAAATTTAGACTGGTCCATTGGAACGTAAGTGTAAAAGTCATGAGAAAAATCTGAGCTGCAGATACTGATTTGGGAGTCATACATACTATGGCCTTAGCTTCTGAACTTAGACAATAGATAAGATCATTCACAGTGAGTTATATGAAGGAAGAGAACAGTGATCAAACGTTAGAAATACAGATATTTAAGGAACAGGACAAAGTAAGTCCAAAAGCTAAACTGGAAAGGTTGGCCAGAGAGGTAAGATGAAAAACAGTTGAATCTGGCATCTTAGAAAATAAAAGAATGGAAGAAGGTAGTTATGGTCAACAAAATCAAATACTCCTGAGAAAAATAGGATAATAACAAAATTGTTCATAGGACCTAGAAACTCCATGGCTCAAATTGGTGAGCTTCCTGAGAGCAGTTTTTTTGGAGGTTAAGGAAAGAATCCAGATTGCACCGTAGGTTGAAGTGTGAATGGGAGATGAAGATGTAATATAGAACAATTCTTTCAAGATTTTGGAGACAGAGAGTTTGAAAGTAAGATGGTAACGTAGAATTTAGGGAGGTATTTATTTCTGGAACAAATGACTACATCAGATATAAATGCTATGGGAAGAAGCTAGTACAATGTACAAAGAAGTGGAAGATAAGCAATAGAGTGAAACCCACTGGTAGTGACCCCGAGGAAGGTGAAATTCAATGTCAACGTGATTACATTTCTGACTATTGAACACAAACACTTTCTGAGTCTCCAGTTTCTGAGATCTAGGACCTGAACATATTGCCCTTAGTTAAAAGAAACAGGGGATCCTGGGTGCCATAAAAAAGCAAAGTCCTTGGATATATATTCCTCTTACAAAATGAGAGAAAATTATGAGTAAATTTTATCATAGGTAATAATTCTCTGGGAACCTGACCACTGGAGATCTTTTCTGTTTTGTAAATTTGCATGTTTTTATATTAGGAATATGAAGTCTCCCCCTCTACATTTTTCTTATGAAAACACATTTGTATTTCTTCTTTCTATTCTGTGGCCTGTCTTGCAATTCAGAATTAACCACAAATTGAGTAATATGAGCTCATATAATTATTACATAGCTTCCTGTTGCAGATTTTAGATTGTAGAGGAAGATTCCTAGGATGTCTAAATTGTATTCTTGAACACCATCATTGATTTATAGTTCATGTACTTTTTCTGAAAATGTTCAGAACACTGGCTTATTCAGCTGGGAATTAAAAACTATAAATATTAAACAACAGAACAATTGGACATTCAGGAGCCCCAAGTTCTAAGTCCAGCCATATTTCTTGATGGGATTGCCCTTGACAAGTCATTATTTCTCTCTGTGCCTCATCTTCTTCCTTAAAAACTGGGTATAACCTTTTAGGTCCTCATTGTAAAAGTCTGGGAAGGTATATTGCAAGTCAATGTGTGAATACGAGAGAAAGATCCATTAACCCCAGTAGATAAAAGAAAAACAGAAATCCTATAAATACATACTGCTAAATAATGGGACTCAACTACATTCCATTTCTGCCATTGGGTTTGATTTAGAACTACTGGTTTCTACCCAGAAGCCCTGTAAGATGCCATTGTGGGAGAAATGCTAAGGTCATGAGTCCTCCTCCCACTTCCTCCTTGTGGCGCTGTGACCTGGTCAGTTGCCCAAGTCCCATCAGTGTCTCCTAACAGAGATCTGCAGCAATCACATGGTTGTCAGACAGCAGTCTCTACAGGCAGAAAATGTTACTGTTTTATTTGTCACCACAGGGCAGGAAGAGAGAGAAAATAAGATTCTTTTATTATTGAACTCCTTAATGCTGTCTTATTCTCCTCCCTCCCTCTGACACATACTTTCTCAGGGACTGCCTAAGCAACTACGAGTAAAAAAAAAAAAAAAAAAAAAAAAAAAAAAAAAAAAAAAAAAAAGGAAAATCACAGTCAAACCATAAACTCTGCTATTTGGAATCAGTGCATAACCTCTGTGATGAAATTTGTGAGTAATTCACTTTCCACTTAAGCCTACCAATATGAGATCTAATGTTGCCGCCCTGAACACTAATGAAGGAAGTCAGACGGCAGTACAGCTAGCCCTCGGGGACTCATTTCTCACACCACCAAAAAGTAATTTCCGTCATTTTCAGCCATCTGGTAGCCTGGATTGTGAAGTTGAAGTTTCATTCAAGTATTGCTTAAGAGTGTGGGCCCTGGAGTCTTCTTAGATTCAAATCTGTTTTCTGCTTCTCACCTGGCTCCATCTATATTTCAGTTTCTCACCTGTAAATAAAATGCTCATAGGATATCATTTCTTTATTATAATGAGTTACCAATATAATACTTGAAAAGTACTCTACATAGAGCCTTACATATAATAAATGCTTAAAGTTACCTATTATTAAATTGTAAGTAATAGTGGTGGTGAAAGTATTAGGGGTAATAATATTATTTTTTGTAGCATCTGTGACACAGGCCTTATTAATTCAGTTTTTAGGCTCTAATGTGCATTATCTAGCCTGTTCACATACCAAGGTGATATTTAGACACTTTCTATTGTGATTAAATGATGGTTTCCTCATGTGGCTAGATTGTAAGTAAACAGGTGTTGCCACATCCTAATAACACAACTATGCAACTCATACTAAATAACACTTTTCCTTTTCCTGACATTTGGAGGTAAGAATGCACTATATTCATTTGATATACATAAGGAAATAAATGTAGGCAGGCACCATTCAGTGTTAAGAAAAAATTATTAATATGGTAAAAATGTGCACACTAATAATTATATAAAGTCTATTCTAATGAAAAAAGAGATAATACATTTCACTATACTCCTCTGTGAAATTCCTACAATACTTGGTCATAGTGGAGAGATTCTTCTAGTAGTAAGACCCATGCTTTTCATCTGCTGAGTCTCTAAAGAGGTCATAAAGTATCCTGGCTTCTTAACATAAAAATTCAAATGGTTCAAGTCATAAAAGCATCTAGCTCAAGTTTGTTATTTCCGGTGGCATGGACCAGTGCTTCAAACATGGGGTTTTACTGGCATGGTTACATATTCCATTCGCTTTTGTCTTTGCAGTTCCACCAAAGATCTCCAACATCTCTTCAGATGTCACTGTGAATGAGGGCAGCAATGTAACCCTGGTCTGCATGGCCAATGGCCGTCCTGAACCTGTGATCACCTGGAGACACCTTACACCAACTGGTAAGCAGCCCTCTAGCCTTCAAGATACCACACATTATTTAACATATCTTTGGGCTTCTCAGATTCCATTGGATCAGAAAGGCAAGCATGTATCTGGTTATTAAAGCACTAATAGAATTGCAATAGGACTTATATAGGGTCCTCCCTGGTCTTTGCTAATGTCTTCATCTCTATAAAGTCTACAGCCATTTCTTATTTCATTTTTAATAGAACATCACCTCAAGGCAACAAATACAGAAGAATTAAATGCATTAAATGACTTAGTATTATGTCTAAAATGTAGGCCAATTTTGTGCTTGAGTGTCTTGGGGCAATGTTTTGTATGAATTAGATTTAACTAGTCCTTTGCATGTTTGTTTGTTCGTTTTGCTGTTAACTATGGTTTCCTTAACTAAGGTTCCTAAACCTTAACTATGGTTTCCTAATATGTAGCACCTTGTGAAGAAACCTTTCAGGAATAATACAAAATTGTTAGTGACTTCTGATGTCGTCTCCTTGGCATATGGTTCTGTGAGGGGCATCAGGCATGGACTAAGCTGCATGAGCTCATTATGGGTCCCTACCTATTAATGCAAATTCAGTCAAAGTCAGAAAAATTATTTCCCAGGAATGTCTTCTGCATCCTTCCCTCCCGTTCCAGCACCATCACCATCAGAATAACTGAATTTTCGGTCTCTGCTGCTTCTTGAACTTCACTTAAATATTATATCAAATTACTTGGGTCCACTGCATGCATACTTTCCTGCTCTACAGATTACATTTTCTTATATGCAATGCCATGGTTTTGTAAATGACACAGTCTTTGTAGAATAAAGCCTGCTATTTAATTTCTCAGAAAGAGGGGCTATGGATCAATTATTCTTATAAAATGTAATTTATTTTGATAGATAGTCCTCAATTTTAATTGATTTATATCTGATATTCTCTTAAAATTTCCTCATATAAGTATCTAGAGTTCACAACAAAGTCATTTTGGAATGAAAAACTCTAAAAAATTGTGCAAAGCAAGACATACATGGAAACTATCCTGAGGTATTTCTAAAAGGCCAGGATAGTGTTCGCCTAAAGCATCTTTGAAAACTGTATTCTGTGGTTGAGAATACAGGCCTCCATGTCATGTTAGGTCTCAAACTAATTTTTCAAGTGAATTTGGACTAGCCTATGGAATGGTCTCCTTTTTTGACAGCTATTCTTATCAAAGGCTTGCTTCTATTTTCTTAAGGGAACGTCACTCAAAACCCACCTTAATTGTTAATGCATGCAACTTGTCATTTATTGACAATATATAAAAGCAATAAATGAGGCATTTATTTGGAAGATCAAACTCATTTCCTTTCAGACCCATTTTATACTTCACATGGAAAAAATGCATATGGAAGATTGTCTTAAGGGTGAACCTCTGGATATCACACACCTTTCCCTTGGGTTAAATTAAACATCCAGAGCACATTCGGCCTGGATTGAAGTATTTTATGCCCCAATCCCACACCACCTACTCCTTTCCGGTATAGAATTGCTTTGACTGAATGACAATTTGGTCCTTTCTGGTATAGAATTGCTTTGACTGAATGACAATTTGGTATAAAAACTATTGGCCCATATTTAAAGATGTTATACAAGATATCAATTGAAATCATTGAATTTACTATAATGTTATTTTGAGAGATTGTTCATTTTATTACATAGTTTTCCTTTTGGAAAATATCCCATGAGGAAATTCCTCTTACGTATTTCTATTGCCTTTTTTCTAAGCAATGGTTGGTTTTCTATGAATGAACGCCCTAAATTTTTATAAATGATTAAGAGTTCATGGAATTGATTGTTACTAAACTTAGAGCCAAATTTATTTTGCCCATTTGTAAAAGAATATAGGAAATCATATATAAATTGCATGTTAATGAAGAGGATTTTAAACAAACTGTGTGGGATTTTATGGCATCAAATTCACGTACAGACCATTCTCTTGCTTTCCTCTTGTTTTATTGTCTCACCTTTTCTAATTAATTTAAATATCTATATAAATATGTTACTTATACCCTCCTATTTTTTTGTGGAACAAGTGGTAGGAAGAAGAAGGGAAGGAAGATAGATTATATTCAACTTATAATCAAGAAATGAATTACATTAATAAAAAGACTATTGTTTTTTTGTGTACTACTTACTATGAAGTAGTTGGGTTTTTTCATTTTTTTATTTTTATTTTGTCTTTGGGGGAGAAATGCTATTCATAACCAGAACCCAAAGATGTATTCTTTTTTATCCTTTGAGTTCAGAAAAATAATGAGATAGAATCAGAGTTTCAAGATTTTTCCATGCTGGGCCTAGCAGTTTAGATCTTAATCTCTAACTCTAGTAACCTTTTTAATGATAGTGAATATCTGATTTGAATCCTGAATAACCTGGTTATCCATGGTGTTTAAAAGTCAACAAAACACCACATCTTCCCATGTAAATATAGCATTTACATACACTCAGAGATCCCTAGAGATTTCAAAATCAGCTTGAAAAATAGGTATACTCATAGGGATTTCCAATAGTAAGGCCAGGGGATCAGCAAACTACAGTCTGTGGGCCCAATACAGCCTGCCCCACTTTTGTACTGCCTAGAGCTAAAAATAGGTTTTAGATGATTAAATGTTTGAAAAATATAAAAAGAAGAATTCTGTTTTCTGACATGCAAAAATTTAATATTCATATTTGGGCATCCATAAAGTTTTATTGAAATACACCCATGCTTATTCATTTTCTTCTTGTCTATGGCTGCTTTTGTTCAAAAACAGGATAGTTGAGTAGTTATAACAAAGATGGCTGGGCTTACAAACCCTAAAATATTTTCTATCTGGCCCTTTAGAAAAGTTTGCAGACCATTGCTCAAGACTATTGCTTGGGGCATAGGACAAGGATTTTCTGCACCAATCTATGACCCCATGACGCTCTGGGGATATCCTCTATTAAGTTCCTAAATACATCTCAAGGGAAAGAACCTTATTCTTCTCTAATCCTTTATCTAGGCCCTGTCTGTAGGTCAAATTCTCTTATGTCACATGCAAAACTAGCTCCCTGCTGCATTCACAGACTCAAGGGCAAACTCCAATTTCCCTTCTAAAGAGTATTAATTTCTAGGCCCACTCTTTCATCTCTTTACATCTGACCTAAATAGCCACCTGATCATAATCATATTCCTGCTAACAGGAGAGAAAATTTTCCTTTACTGTTCTACAAAGGAAACTAGGTTTTTTTTGTGTGGGGGGTTGGATTTTTTTGGTTTTTACGTGGGTTTTCCCCTACTTTCCAAAATTTGGAAACAGGCAGTGATCCTTTTCAGTCTATAACATGAAACCTTTCTTGGAGACACTCAAGGAAGAAGCTCTGCCCTGTGTCACAGTAAAACTGTCTGCAACCCGTGGCCGTGTGAGCAAAAAAAAATCTAGTAGCTTTGTTCAATTATTAATTGTGCCTTCAACAGTATAGAGTGTGACTGCCTTGCAGAGGAAATGTACCTGTAATTAGCTCGACCCCATAGGGGCATCAAGCTATGAAAGGGGGAAGAATCCAAGCAGGGTTCACATGTACCTGATTACCTGTCATTTGATGACATAAGGGGGAGAAAAGGAAGAGGGTGAAAGGTATATTTTTATGAAGACTATTTATTGCCTCTTAATTTAGTTTTTTTTTTTAAATTTGGTCACACCATTTTGTTTCTCTTTATTCTGACATTTGAAATTTATTTTTCAAATATGCTGCAAGTGTTTTTAAAGAGGGAAGTTTAAAGAATGGTAAATCTTTTCATATATACAGAATCAAAACATATACCTGACTTAGAAGGATGAGAAAGTGGTTGATGAATTCCATGGTTGCCTTTCTTATGCTTCCGACTTCTTAATTTTTCCATTCTCTCCAGTTATTCTGTATAGTCAAAATGATACACCACGTATGTGGTTGTTAAATGTGACCTATTTTCTCCCTTAATTTAGACTTTCATAATCCTGTAACTCCCAGAGGGCAATTGCACCGTAACATGTATTTTCTATGGAGTGTTTGATCTCCCTTCTGTGAGTAATGCTGTTCCCATCTTCATTTAACTTTGTTTCTACATCTTTCTTCTCACATTCCAGAGGAAGTCCCTTTCTCAACTGTACCTCATGTGGTATCAGGGTTGCCCAGGGTTACAGAAGGAGTTTCTATGCATTTTGTTTCTACAAAGGTTTTTTTTGCATCCTCAATAGCTTTCTATACCCGCCAAACTCAGCCACACTGAGGACTTGGTCCTTCAGGCTGAGAACAAATTAGCAGGTGCTGTAAAAATTCTCTTGTCCAAGCCAAAAGCCAGATTTGACATTAATACAGAATATAAAAATCTTGCTTAAGAAATATTTTGTTTTTTGATAGGGTAGGTGGGAAAATTTGTACTGGAAGCTGGTAAGAGACCTGCAGGGAGTCTGGAATCCCATTTCTTATTGGATGTTGGTTTTTACACTTGGTCAGAGATTCCCAAATTTGAATCCTTGCCTGGTGATACTCTTGAACTCCATTAATGCTCTAGCTCTGTCTGTCTTCTAATATTATAGGTTAACCAATTATTAATATATGTAGCTTAGACCCTGCCCTCATGGGTTTGAGAGTACTATGCAATGTTTAACTAAACTTATTTCTTTAAGCTGATTTCCAGAAGTACATGTTGCAAGTAACATCAGCTCTTTTTAGTTAGCACACCAGAATTAGCATGACTTTGTATTTCACACAGAGAACATATCTACAGTTCAAGTTTGAGGAAATTCTTTCTCTGGGGTTTTCTTGTATGGACCTTCGAAAAGATTCTTTGAGTTAATCTTGGTAGTATATGGATGTGGAAGAATCAAACCAGTGACTTTGCTCTTGACCAGATAGTGATAATTTAAGTGAAAATAATGATTCAACCTATTATTTTGATTGTATTCATTTGTTTCTTGCATTTAAACAATTTTCCCTTTACAAAGAGCAGAAAAATAAATAAAAAATCT